CAGCCGGGCCCCTTCAGCTGCCCCCTAAATCCCAGGAGTACATCACCCCCGTCCCGGTGTCCCGGGGCGCTCGGGAGGAGCCGGTTCCTCCTCCCCTGGGCTGGAGAACAAACTGCAGTCCCCGGGGACGCTGCGAGACTTTCCAGCTCCTGCTCCAGCCCAGCTGGGAACGGGAGCTCGGAAGGAAGGAAGTTCACACGCAGCACAAGTGGGAGCCAAACAAAAGCCATTGTGTGCAGAGGGGAACTAACGAGGATAAATATGTTTTAGATTCATTGTTAAAACATAGCGGGACACAACTGGAGGGATTTGGATAAAAACGCCCCAAATTTACTGGAAAATTAAATGGATAGGACCAGCTGACCCCCTCGGTTTCCAGAATTTATGACTTCCTCGCTCCAATCCCCATCCCAAATGTAAGGAATAATCTTAGTGAAGCAGCTCTTGATGAATTGCTGTGTCAATAAAATCCGAATCACCCCGATTTCCCCAAGAGAATCACAACAGCGTGGACCCGCTTTGCTGAGCCCATCCCCAAATCTGTATTTCAGCATTTCCCAGAAATGCCAGCACCAATCCCTGGCTGTGCTCCTGCTCTGTAGGAATTGGGCAGAGTGAATCAGCCTCTCAGCCCAGCCCCATGCAGCATGACCAGGTTTTGCTGCAGAGGCAGCAAAGGCAGCCCCGAGCTGGCTGCGTATTTATTTTTTATAAGAAATCTGGATAATGGAAACCACGTACAACCTCTCGGATTTTTCCTATAAATATCTCAGCAGTCCCAAATCTCCGAGCACAACGCGAATCCACTCGGCTTTGACTCCTTTCAGGAAATTCTCAATGACTTCCTGTCACAAAGTCCAATAATCACTGTCTCTTCTCCAAGCACTCCTCACTGCTCTGCTTCCAAAGTGAAGCCCGACCTTCTGTCCGCTTCCCAGAAATTCTGCCCCAAAAAATACAATAAACCAACCGAAATGCTTCTGAGCACCCTTGTAAACCAGTTCCACATCGCTTGAGCCTTGGGAAAATCCAAGGGGTTCACTTTGGGAATGTGAGCAGTTGGGTTCTGGAGCCAGGGGTTTGCTCCAAGGATCCAACTCACATGGGGACACATGGATAGAAAGAAACAGGTTCATTCCCACTTCCACAGAGATAAAACTGCATCGAATCCAGGGATCCACCGCAGCTTCCAGGGAGCTCCAATTCCCTGTTAATTACCCCTGGAAAATAATTGGGTGCCAAATCTGGGCACACTCCTCACTTTGGCAGCTCATGACAGATTTGTCTATCAAGGTGCTGGGGAAATGAAGACAATTTCGGAGCAAATTGATCAGAGTGCAAATATTGATCCTTTTGGCCCTTCCTGCCGTTGCACGGGTTTCCTCGGAGCTCAGTAATGAGGGAGAAAGGCAAACTCGTGCTAATGACTCCTCTAATCCCGAATTAGCTGGGTTTTGAGCTCGGGTTTCAGCTCAGTTTTGAGCCCAGCCCAGCTTGCTGTCTGGAGAAGCTCAGGCTGCTCCATCCCCAGCAGTGGCCAAGGTCGGCTTGGACGGGGCTGGGGTAGTGGAAGGTGTCCTTGATGATCCTTAAAATCCCCAATTATTCTGCACTTCCACAAAGGCGGGGAATCGCAGCGCAAATAACCGGGAATGTCGGAAACGACCCAGCTCCTTTTCCTGTGACCTTTGTCCAGGAGGATTTGATAGCAAACTCCTAATAAAGGAGTTGGCAAACACGTCGGGAGGCAGCCGCAGCTTTCCTGCTCTCAGTGGGAAGTTTATAGCCTGGATTCTGTTCCAATGGCTGTGCATACCATTAGCATATTTAAATAGGCTGCTTCCCAAATTAAAGTGGAAGCAGCTATAAAATGCTGTTGGCTGTGCTCAGTGTCTCCTTCTGAATCAGAATCCAGCCCTCCCGAAGATGTTTTTTGTTTTTTTCCCTTGACTTTTGACAAAGAGGGAAGACTTTGCAGGGAAAATAAGCAAGGCAAAAAGGCAGTTGAAGCGCTCGGTGTTTACTACTGAGATGCTCCCGATTGTATTTTACCAGGAGCGCCGGGGAAGAGTGGAATCAGAATTCCATCAGGATTTAGATCCAG